GGTGAGGGCGTTGACTTGATCTTGAGACGTGCTGACTTTGATTTCGAGGTCTTTGATATAATCTCCGTCGACACCATTCTCGCGCAGGAAAGAAAGGTAACCATCTGACCCATGCTCAGCAGCCAGCTTGCCTTTGAGTCGTCGGACCTCGGAAGTGAGGAAATTGATCCGTTCTTCACGAGTGGCTGCTAGACTCTCCATCTGTTCAGTGAACCGACACTTTTCAGCCTCCTTTGCCCGGCGCTCCATGATTTCAGCATTCATCTCGTCCCGTTGGCCTCTCAGCCGGGCAAGATCAGCATCCTTCTTGGCCATATGTGACCGTAGAGTTTCCGTTTCAGTCCGAGCTTCGGCGAGCACAGCCTCTCGAAAGTCACCGTTCGCGTCACGCAGCTGATCGAGTTTGGCTTCGGTGGCTGAAAAACGCTCTTGCAGGGCGTTGGCTCTGTTGAGTTGGGTAGAAAGTTGATGGAGATAGACTTGGAAGAATGGCGATTCGCGCACTGCTGATTCTGACGGATGGACGGCCTTGATTGAAATCAGCATATGTTATTGTAAAGCCGTTTCACAAGACTCACCAAAACCTTCAGCCGGTCGACTTCTTGCTGCAACACTACCTGCTCGGCTCGCAACTGTTCCAACTGTTTGAGACGTGAATCTGCCAGATGCTCCAGCTCTGATGTATCTTGTAAAGCACCAGAAGCCGACGGTCCAGCACCACTAACGACCTTTTCGTCCGCATCAACGTGGCCATTTGGTGTCGCGTGACCACTGCCATTCGTCCGTAAACCAGGCGTGCTTCGGCCGACTTGTGATCGCTCTTCTTTCCACTCCTCATGAGCCTTCTCGTGCTCCATCCGTTCTCGATCCAGAGCTTTCCGGGTGCGCGCAAGATCTTTTTGAGCACCGTCGCGCGACTCGGTCAATTCTGAAATCTGAGAACGCAAAAGTGTCGAGTTGCCTCGTAACGTGCTGGCCTCTGCTTCAAGCTTTAGGCAGCGGGCTTGGAGGTCGGCTTCGGAGGCAGGACGAGTGGCGTTACGAGAAATCAAATCGATGAAACGGGTAATCAATTGACGAGTGGGTGGTAACCGAGTTTGAAGAGCTTTTTCCAGTTCTGGCTGAGGCAGTGAATGATCCAGTAGCGCTAGAGGAGGAGTGAGCGGGTGTATATGCGAGCACGCGATCAACTTACGCTCCAACACTTGTTCCTCCTGCAACTCTACTTCTTGCGCACCGGCCAAATCCCTTACGGCAGTGACGATCTGCGTACGCGAATAAGCATTTGTCTGGCGACAATCTAACTTGACCTACCTGTGTCCAGCACACCTCAACTGCTTGAAAACTTGCTTCGAGCACACGCCTCTGGGCTTCGAGGTCATTTGCCCGCTGAGCCTCGCGTTCTGAAGAGCGCCTATATTCGAGCATTTGGCGATATATGGCCTCTTTGCGCTTGACCTGGAAGAGAAGAAGAGATGAGTCAGCGACAGATTTACAGAGAGAGCGTGATTATTCAATGTCTTTGCGAATCGAGAAACCTGCTGAGCACGCGACGGGAGTACAACTCAACCGATTCTGAGAATCTCGCGCAGACATGAAAATGCCACAAATCCGATGCAACCTACCTCGACGATTTTCATCCAGTCTGCCATACCATCGTCGTCGCTTGCCGACGTGGGCACGGGTGAGGGGGCATGGCTGTTGAGCCTCCTTTTTGCCGACGGGGAGGGACTGTCGTCGAGGGTATTCTCGCGCACCCTCTTGAGGTCTGCGTTCATGGTGCAGCGGGGGCGGGGCGGTGTCTGACGTTGGATGATGTGTGAGTGAGAGAGAGTTGAGAATTAACCAAGAGCCTTCGCGACAGCTTATCATAACGCCGCGGAGTGTGGCACCTTTGTTTGTGTGGGCGACGGCGGCCACCGCTGCGCTATCGTTCGCTGACATTTCGATGCAGCGATATTGTTGGTGTACGACAATATAATATATACCCCATTAGACAGCGCATTAGGGCCGGCAGACGTCACGAAACAAAGGGCATTTGCAATATCGGCGCCCACAACACGCATACCACGACCCGGCACCTGTTACGCGTTCTACCGCCTCGCGTCACTCTGTTGCCACGACCTACGACTTTTATGCTAGACAGACGCAACAAGAACAACCGCCCGAAGCGATCCTGGTTTCTCAAGAGCGTTCAGTTTTCTGACGGTCGGCATACTCCCTGATAATCGCAAAGCCAACCCGGTGGTGATTGCATCGACAACATGTCAGCGGGCCATCCCGTCCTCGATCTGCCATCAGCGCAGATTCACAAAATGCCGAGTACATCGTCATTTGGTATAGATGATGAACAAGATATTCAGTGCGTTATGCTCCTTGACCTGTAATATATACTGACTCTTACAGGTTCGACTCTCCGGAAGATGAGATTGCGCACTACAGAGACAAGTACAGGCAGGCTATCGAGATGCTCACCGATACAAGAGCAGAGCTTGGTGGGTATTCCCGTAATATCAGTGAAGGGTTTGCTGATGATAACCAATAGAGGAATTCCAGCAATCCTCGAAGGAACTTGAAGATGAGATGGAACAAGAGCTCTCGGCAAACGACAAGCAACAAGCAGATCTGAGAGAAAAGATCAAGCGGCTGGAGCAGGAAAAGGACGAATGGAAGGTGAGTTTGCCACATGTCTTCTACGATGGGCGAGGCTGACGTGGGTGAAGAACAAACACATCGCTTTGCAAAAGATGCACAGTTCGACGACGTCGGCGATGCAAAGAGAGATGGACAATCTCAGGTCTGAGAGGGATAAGACGCTGGTCGCTTTGAGGGATCTAGAGATGGGTAACGATGAGCTGGAGAGGAATGAAAGGTTTGTGAATCATTTACGTGTGTAAATTGGAACTGACGATTACTGTAGAGTGGCTGCGTCGTCACTCCTCGACATGGAGAGCAAGTACAACCGAGCAATCGAGGAGAAGACATTGCTCGAACAGGACGTCGCTGCCAAGGATGAGCTGGAGGCTGAAGCACAACGGTTGAGGGACGAGGTTCGAGGCGAGTCTACCTTGAATCGCCCATGAAGACTTATTGACGTGTCTTAGACGCAAACGAGGAGATTGCTATCCTCAAAGACCAACTCGCTCGAGCAATCTCTACTCCACCATCTTCCGTCTCCACAGCTTCGCCCACACATGGACCGACCCGCAAACCCTCTCGCTCAAGTCTTTCAGAAGACTTGTCTTCTTCTCCTTTGCCACCGCCCGTCCCGAGCAAGACTCTGTCTCCAGGCCCAACTCTCGCTTCACCCAGACACCAAATGACTCGAAGCGGTACGTTGTCATCTATTCCCGTCCCCAGCCCCTCCACCAAGCGTTTCAGCCACATCCCCCAATCCCCTTCCACCACTTCACTCAGCCGTTCCACCACATCTCGCAACCTTGCAGCCGCTGCTGGTACACCCTTACCCAGCTCTCCCGCTGGCCTCACAAGGAGCAGGAGTGGGATCCCGCAAGCGTCCCCAGCGAGGGTGTCGGTCATCGCTTCTCATCAACAGACAAAATCGCGAGGGTTCAGGCTTTTGCATGATCTGCAGGCGAGGTTGAAGGCCACGGATGAGAAGCTTGGTGGGGCAAAGGTGCCAAGGAGAAATGTCTCTGGGACAGGGGCGTCGGTATTCGGGGCAGTAGGTGCCGTGGGCAGGCGAGTGACGTCAACTTCGTCCACTGCTACAGCCCGTTCCAAGCATACTGAAGCCGCCCCCGCCACTGCTCTCAACGAGTCGCATACCACCCCTCTTGCTCAAGCGGCCTCCCTGCCCCGAACCGGCAGCGCCATGTCTCCAGGCTGGGTCCTTGTCGGCGAAGGTGATGATACTCCCACAGGGCCATGGAGCACGACTCTTCCCACCGACGAGCCCAAGTCTCCCCTAGACCCAACCTTCAGGAGCACGAGTACAATCAGTTCCAACAGGTCTCTACCCACCCGCCCCGGCATACCTTCTCCTTTGGCTAGTGGACTAGCGAGGTCTGGTACTACGAGCGCGAGACAAGCTACGAGTAGACCGCCATCGAGGCTGGCTCAGAGCACAACGAAAAGGGATTTGGCCGCTCGTCCCATGTCGCCTACTCAGATTCCTGTTGCCTCTGGCCGACGGGACTCTCGCCCCATGTCACCGTCCTTGATACCAGGTCCCTCCTCTAGACCGCTCTCACCAGAGATGTGGAACCGCTCAGATTCTTCAGCTTTGGGCTTCTCCGCCCTCGGCCAGTCCACTTCGGCCCCATCCTCTCGTCCAACCTCCGGCTCTGCGTCCAGCACTGCAAGGCCTCCTTCCCGCTCAGGTATGAACAAACGCAATCCTATAGGTCGTGGACCACCACCTACTACGACCTCGCGTCTGCACCATCACCACTCTCGCGGGTCTTTGTCTGCGATACCGGCAGTCTCTACGGGAGGAGAGAAGGTCGAGCGGGCAAAGAGGTTTGGGAGGCCCAACTCGCTGGGAGGGGAGAAGCGGTCGGGTGCGGCGGAGATTGGAACTGCCGTGGGGGTGGGGAGGGCGAATGGAGCAAGACCATCGAGTGTACATGTCTTCAATGGGACGCCACCGCCGGTCCCGAGGATTCCGAGCTCTATCTTACGAGATAAAGGAAGGAAGATCTAGAGGGATCTAGTAGAGGAGACCTGCATAAGCGTGACATCGTGTTAATACGGCCGGGTGCTTATAGACATTGCTGAGTATGTGTAACGGATGTAACGATTTGCAACGCCCCCGTCCCCCCAGCAAATCAACATGTCTTCTAGCCACGCTCCTCCGCATTGACGAACGTATGTCGGCTCTTATGCTGCTCTCAAATTGCGTACTATCACAGAGTCCACAGTGATCCGCAAAGTTGTTGTCTCTCTACCATGCCTATCCAACTTTCCATTCCGTACATCCCTGCCTTGTATGAGATCGCAACCGTGATGACTGTATGTTGACGGCCTCAATATCTATAGCACGTTTGACCGAGTGGTTAAGGTGTGTGACTCAAGCTCAAGCTTCCCTGAATTCAGGGTTCACATGGTCTCCGTACCGCGCAGGTTCGAATCCTGCAGCGTGCATTTCTTTTTTGCTTTTTGCCAGTCCGTCCCCCAGCCACATCTGTGCCGCAGTGAGGGGCCCGTCCCGTTGAGTTGTGGACATCTTTGGGGACGCGCGTGGAGTCACAGTATGCAAAAGGAAGAATAAAGGCTGACTGAGAGTAGATGGTAACCATGGCACCCTCGGCCGGAATTCCACGTATCTTCCGGCAAGTACGTGCAAGAGCGCTGTGAGTGGTGACCACCAATTCAATCGCAGCTGGGCTATGTCTTGATGATCCCGCAACCTGACATGCATAACATTACAACAAGAACCAGCAACATGGTAATATATATCTACAAACAGGACAGAAACGTGTAGTCAAACTTTCTTCAAGCTCTCTTTCTCCACTTGCTCTCCTTTTGCCTACACAATCCCAATCAGCAACCGCGAGAGCCACACCCTATACAGAAAGATCAAAGACGTACATTGCTTCCTTCCTGATCCTCTCTTCCTTTTCTCTGTTCATCTGGTCCGCCACCTCATTATGCTCCTTTACCCTCTGAGTATCAGGAAAGCCGATATCCCAATACCCTGGAGGAGTCGGAGCCCGAACCCACTACCATAACTCGTCAGCTCGGTCGGCGTGATGACGAGACCCATCCGAAGAAGCTCACTGTATCCCGATGTCTAGAAGACTTGTTGAGATGCTCCCTCATAGCATGCTGCTCATCTTCCGGCTCTTCCGAGTCTTTCCAAACAGGGCCTTGGTTGAACTTCGGCATTGCCCCGACAGAGGTGTAGTACTGCAATAGTCAGATCAGCGACCGACAGGTGACATGGGCGAGATGCGAGACGTGCCCCTTTACAACACTCGCAATCGCCCCCGTGCATGTGCTTTCTCTCTTCCTTCTTTCTCTTGACATCGTGGAAGGCAAATTTGGCACCTTCATTCGCCAGTGGGTTGATCTCGTACTCGTCTGAGGTTTTTGCCATCCTATTCAACTATCAGTCATTGCCCGTAAAACATCCCAAATGAATCTCACAGCTGATCAGGCTCGAGATACCTCCCGCCCTTCTTATACTCCTTATAGATATCTCGCCTCTCGCTCGCTGGCATCTTTGCCAGTTTCTTTCGCATGTCTGCTTTTTCAGCGGGGGTGAGGCCCTCCATATCGGCGAGCTTGCGCTTCGGACCCATGATGTCGCTCTTGGTCGAGCTGGGACCAGCAGTCTGGGGAGTGGTAGGACCGGGAGTCTGTTGGAGATTTTTGGAGACAAGTGATCTGTGAAGGGTCGTGGACTTCTCGCCTTTCGGTCGGCGAGAAGGTGTCTCATCTATCAGCACCCCTTTCTCCGCGTTCGACTCGGATAAGAAAGGGTTGCAGCCTTCATCAACCAGCATTTCCGGCGACTGAAAGGTCTCTTCATGCCGTGCTATGCGCTGGGCTGTAGGTTTTGAGTGGGTACTGAACGGTTGGGCGGTTACGCGCTCTTGGGTAGAGATGCGAACGGTGGTGGGAGAAATCTGCGTAGCAGTATACGTCGTGTTCTCGGTGACGGCAGGGTTTACTGCTAGGAGCTGTTCGGTCTCAACCTTGGGCTGCAGTGCTGCCTCCTCCGCCAGACTCAGCCCCACTTCTTCTGCCTCCTGCGCAATCTCCACCTTGTGCCGCACCGGCTTGGCCTTGACCCCACGACTCTGACTCTTGCTAGCTTTTTTCTCCTCATTCCTCCTCTTCCTCCTCTCCTCCCGCTCTTTCTGAGTTTTGACATACGCCCTGAAGTGCCGCGTGCTCTCATCGAGTTTGGCCTTGACCTCGTCGTAAGCTGCTTTAAGCGCCTTGTGCTGGGATTCTAGATGCTGATGAGCTTTGCGGAGATGCGAGGGGGTGGGAGGGGCAGAAGAAGACTGCGATTGAGGTTGGGATTGAGATTTGCGAGGGGTGGAGGGGGCGAGGGAATTGTAGGTGGATATGATGTTGGGCTGTAAGGGCTGTAAAGCGCGTGGACTATGGCTTAGTCAGCTCAATTCAGTTTTGGTTGACCTTGAAGCATACCTCATCTCCTTGGCTCCCTTCAACCTCATGTTATCATTCCTCAGCAGCTCGTTCTCTTCTTTCAGCTTTGCCACCTTGCCCCTTTCCAGCTCCAGCCACTCTCTTAAATCACCCTTATCCCTCGCCCAAACCTTCCTCTCATCACCATACTCTGCTTCGAGGACTTCCATTTCCTTCTCCTTTTTGATCAATCCCTCTTGAACCCTTTGGATATCTTCCTCCCTCCTCTTGACCTTGCTTTCCAGCTTGCCAACCCTCTCTCTCAGACCCTTGCTCGTCTCCCGCTCCCTATCCAGATCCTCTCTGTGCGACTGCGTTATCGTCTTGATCTCCAATTTCAACCTCTTCAGCTCTTCCTCCGAAATCTGGGGGTAGGTGCTTTTACGCGCAGCGTTATTGTTAGGAGGGGACCGGAGAGAATGCAGATCGGCAGAGGCAGAGGGGGATGATTTGAGGGTGGTGGTGCTTTCGTGCCAGAATTGCTGGGGGGTGGGAATTCTTGCGAAGCTTCTGCTAGAGGGTATTCTGTTGAGACTCATGAGGAGGAATAGTACAGGTGATGAAGATAGAACGGAAAGCGATGAAGAAAGAAGTCATACGCGCATCACGCTCGGTCCAGTTAACCCAACTATGACCTTACGTAAATTCGAATCGCGTCGCGCGCAAAACAAACAAATGAGTATCAAATCATGAGTATCTTTTTCTTCTCCATCCTGCGCCATTTTTCCGACAGACTCACCTAAAGATGACCGAACCTCTCTCAAGAATTGTGGTCGACCATGAAAATGACTGGCTTCGCGTTCAGAGAAATGTCTCGCAAGCCATGACGGATTCTATGGAGGCCCGCTTGGCGACTATGCCCGGAGGGAAGGACGGGGAGGCTGCGAGGAAGCTCCGGAGAGAAGTGGAAGGAAGGATGGGCAAGGTGAGTGGATAATGCCCGCTCTTGGTCATGACAAGAGCTAATGTGGTCTAGCTGCAAGAAAGAATGTGGCATATGGCGAAATACAACATCCAAGTGAATGGTCAAAACTACGAAGACTTTGTCCAAGGTATGTATCTGAGTTAAGCCGTGTCTATGCGGATAATCTGACACTTTTGTGTAGCAACCGAAGGCTTTGATGAAGTGCTTGATCGAAAGATCTGGGGTCTCAATACCGAAAGAGTCGAACATGAAACGCGAATCGCCGAGAGACGCAAGCGGATGCCGGATGCTATCTATCAGATGGAAGAAGATCTGGAAGGGAGAAGGGAAGAAGCTGAGTGGTTGCCTGATGAGCTGGAAGAAGACCAAGGTGTGTATCGTTGAGGAAATGGATATTCGAACATGAAAAGGCTGACAGTGCGCAGATGCCTCCAATGCGCAGGAGTTGCCGAAACCAGATAGGTATGAGGAGGTCAGAGAGACGTTTGAGATTGCTGCTGCCAACTTGGCCGAGGTTGCGAGGGTGGGTACCAGTGCGTTCATCGCAGTGAACGAAGCTGACTCATTGATGATAGTCTGCACCGATACAGCTTCAACGGGCGCAACGGGCTCAGACGGTGCAGGAGGAGATCATCAATATGCCTCCATGATCACTTGGCGTCCTCTCACGTCTCATTGGCATATATCTATCAATCGCTCTATAATGATCCTTTGTTCATACGACTTGACCACCGACGACGCCCAAGATCTGACCAGTCTCGTTGGCTCAAGGGGTCAATGCTTGGACTATGTTGTATATTAGCTTAATCGCACCATGTTTGTCTCAACTTACATGATAGCAAGAGACATGTATATGAATAGAGTACATCTTACGATGCACTGTGTTACGGGCAACAAAGCGCCGATTTTGGGAGGGCTTCGCTAGAACTCAGACCGTTTGGCTCTTTGCTTCATTCCAGGCATCACTTCAGCGCCCTTGACACCCTCCACTTGTCTGACCTGCTCCAGTATACTCTTCTCGCCCTTCACCCAATACTCCTCTCCCCGCTTCACAGGCTGCCCATCAGGTCTGACAACTTGCCACACACCTTCCCCCTCTAGCTCGCCGATCTGGCCCACGTATCGGAGCTGGTGGCCTGCATGTGATATGGAGTTTGGCGGGGGTGGAGAGACAGAGTGGGAGACTTGAATGTAGATTTGGGAAGGGTCGAGATGGAGGGGTTTGTTGGGGGCTGTCATTGCGGAGGCGGGTAGTAGGAGAGCGCAGGCCAGAAGGTGGTAGAGCCGAATATTGAAAGTGGTATTTGCGATTCAATTCAGCAAGAGATACTGGGGATATTGTTATAGATTATGTGCGAGAATGGCTTTGGTTCATGCAAACCACTCCATTCATACTGCACGCAGACTGCACGTCAGGTTGCATGCTTTGATCATGCGGCGGCCACCACCGACGTTGTTTTGACGGGACCAAAATTACCAGGGTGGAGGCGGCACATTTTCAGAGATGTTGCAACAAGTGGACGTCGATACCACCATACACTGACAACGATGGGCAAGCCAGGAAAGGGACTCGGCAAGCGCAAGGCGCCACCAGGCCACTCGAAACCCGCCCCAAAAAAGGCCAAGCCCTCTGCCCCAGCCAAAGACGGGGAAGACACAACCCAACCCAACGGCCGGCCTAAACGCCCGGCCGACCAGCCCAAGAAGGTCAAGCTCCGGGACAAAAAGGTCATTCCTGTGCCCGAAAGCGCCTACGCAAGGGATGCATATGACAGTGATGATTTGGAGAATTTGGGAGAGGAGGAGGGAATGGGGGCGGAAAGCGCGGGGTTCTTGGCGAGTCTGGATGCTGGTGCGCTAAGTCGGTGCGTGTCTCTGTCGTAGATCAGACAAGAGCTGATGGGGTGATAGAACTGTCAAAGAGACTAAACGACTCCACGAAATCTCCAAGGCACAAGAATCAATACCCCAAGCTGCCAAGAAAAAGTCGAAAACGCCCGTTCGCGAGGCCCTTTCCGACGAAAGCGACGTCTTTGACTCTGATCCCGAATTCGAC